ACATTGTTTCGGTTCTTACACAAAAAGCCCTCATTTTCGAAAAGTGAAGAAATCGTTTCGATAATTTTTGAAAAATCTTTTCTATTATTATGATATTTTTAATTGCACCAAGAAATTCGAGATTTCTTATCTAATAAAAAAAGAAAAAAAAAAGGGTGTTGGCCAAGAGGAAAAACATTTAAAAGAAAAGAGGGTTTTTTTTAGAAGAAGAGGAAGAAAAATGAAGACTCTTCTTTAAACAAAATGTTAACATTACCATTACCATTACCATTACAAATTTTAATACTGACCTGCTAATAATACTATTACTATTACTAATACAATGTTAATGTTAATCCTAATATGCTAATGTTACTGGTGCCAATGCCATTGTCAATGTCAATGTTATACATAATCCTAATGCTAATGTTAATGATAATCTTAATACGCTAATGTTAATGTCAATCATAATATGCTAGTGTTAATGTTAATCCTAGTATACTAATGTTAATCCTAATTCTAATATTAACGTTAATCATAACCCCAGCTTTAATGATAATACTAATGGTAACATTAATCCTAATCCCAATCTTAATCCTTATCATAATTCTAATCTCCTAATAATAATCACAATCATAATCATATCACGATAATAATCGACAATGCTAATCTTAATTCTAATCATAATCCTAATCATAATCCTTATTCTAATCATAATCATAATCATAATCATCATAATAATAATAATCATAATTCTAATTCTAATAGAAATCAAAATATGCTAATGCAAACTTTAATCTTAATACTAATCCTAATATGCTAATGCTAATTCTAATAGTAATCCTAACATGATCCTTATTATAATAATAATGCTAATACGAAGACATGAATATTAACCATAACCCTAATATTAATGCTAATTCTAATCATAACCCTAACCACAAGTATGCGGTATATTTGTAAATCATAATAAATAATATTTATGGAATCGAAAAATTAAAATAAATTGTTCAAATGAATTAAAAAAACTGAAATGCTAAATTTCGCACTAAATTTATGAAGTCCCGTACTAAAAAAAAACTTTATCTCTCTCAAATCTTTTTTTTCCTCCCATCATCTCCTTTTTCTTTCTTTATTTTTCCACTGAACAAAAATTGTCTCTGCATTTCCAGTTTGAATTTAAGGAAAGTCTATATATTCAAGCTACGTATGTTATATATTTAAATCTTAGTTTCATTTTTAGGACGAATTTGGATTGCAATTTCAAGGTTTTCTGCAAGAAAAAAAATAAAATTTGTATAGTGGTTGCCGGTGGAGCCGAAACGCCATCCTTGATGGTCTGCGGTGAAATGACCCGTGATAACTGGCTGGCAACAGAAGGGAAGTACGCTGCCATGGCAGATGCAGCAAAGCTAAAGGGGATGGGGGCAACGGCGGAGCCAGGATTTACGGTGAGGGTGTGCTAAAATTTTACGGGGTTCGGAGGTAGAATCCCTGAATTTTTTTTTCAAAAATATAAAGCAAAATAAATAGAAATTTTTATGTTTTAATTAAATTATTTATATTAAATTGTATATTATCCATAATATAATTATTAGAGCTCTTTAAACTATATTACAAATCTATTGGGTGGGCTAATTAAAATGGATTAGGATTAAAATAGTGTATAAAAATGATAACTAAACATATTTTAGCATTAAAAAATTCCATAAAAAACATAAACCAGGGTGGGCTTCAGCCCACCCACACTTGAACGTGGCTCCGCCACTGGATGGGGGTTGGAGGCTGCGGCTGCGACTGCGGCTAGGGTGTGGTGGGGCAAGCTAGGGTTTATGATTTTTTCTTTAATTCAATTATTTGTTAATTAATTATGTTTGTTAAATATAAATAATTGTCGAATAAATATTAATTAATGTGTACAAAAATATTGAATATTTAAACATGCTTAATAAATAGAATAAATAAATAATAAGTGTAAATAAATATTAAAAAATGACTTTTGAGGAATCTTGAAAAAATCTAGAGAGAAGTTAGAGAGAATAGGATTAGAGAGAGAATTTCATAATTTATGTTCGTGATTTAGTAAATTTTAGTGCGAGAATTGCATCCCGAAAAACAAATTTGCCAGAAAAAGAGAATTAATGGGATAAGAAATAGGTATCTATCTATAAAGATTCAAAATCACGGATTTATCGGGCACGTATTTAATGGGCTAGAATTTAATGGTATAACAAATGGATGCCATTAAAAAACGTTAAAAATATTTAGAATAATAAACAGTGAAATCGAATGAACAACAAAAATAACAAAAAAATAACAGTGACAAAATGAACATAAAAAATAACAAAAGAAAAAATAATAATGACAATAATATGAAGAATAGCACGAGAACAAATATAGTGAATAGAAAAATATAAAAAAAATGGGACTGGAAAAAATTAATGGAAGTTTGAATACATTAAAAAAATAAAAACTGTGAATGATAAATAAAAGTATTGTAATGAAGCAACGAATGGTAAGGAATAAAAAAAAGCCATGAAAATGAAAAACAAAATAATATTATAGAAAAAAATAAAGACATGGTACTGAAAAAAAAAATGTTAACAAAACAAATAATAAAAAACAATCGTTATTCTAATTTATACACTTATTTATTGCATAAAGTAGTTACGAATCTTTACAAAACAAATATATCAATGAAGAACATAATACATTGAAATGCAATCTGTGGAATATTATGTAGAATAACAAAATAATAAAATGAAAAGGAAAGGGGGAAGAAGAAAAGAAACACAACAAAACATTTCCCTTAGTTACACGTCTGAATTATGACAAATCGATGAAAAATGCAGTATTTATAGGTGTTAGTTTTTCTAGTGTAAAGAAGATTTTTTAGGTTTTGCTAAAATAGTAAAATATATTATTGATTAATGATTTGATGCATTTATTGTATATTAATCCGTAAAATAAGAATGTTACCATAATATATTTATCATAATCAATATTAATTAAGGGAAAAAAATATGAACGGATTATTTGTATGTATCTAAATTTCAATTGAAGAAATCCATTATAAAATTCAAGAATGGTAAGGTAAATTATAATTAAAATAATATCATTAATTGATTACCATTAATATTTTATCACAATCCGTATGTGAGATAAGGTAAATTAATAAACAATGAAAAAAGATTTGTTTCTATTTAGTTCTCTTAATTAAATGAAAAAAATAATTAAATGAAAGAAGTCAAAAAATGAAATGAATGAAAAATCTAGGATCAAAATTGAAGATGTCAAAACTTCAATTGTGTATTTATATGTTGTATTTTAAACAAATATAATTTATTGAATGCATATTACGATATTCTATAACTACAAAAATTAAAAAAAAAAATGTATTTTATTAATAAAATTAGTCGATTATTACAATGAAAAAAATTCCTAAAATTTATTTGAATATTCATAAAAATGGCCATTCAAACAAATATATTACGAAAATTAAAAGTATAAATAAGATAAATATTTTTCGAATTTGTATATAGATTAAATGCATTAAATAATAAATGTATATGTGGTAATGTTTAGATGATTGTGCAAATATTAAATAGGAAATAATCTTAACACATACCAAAAATGAAATGCCAACTAATCAATTTGAGATGCCACATAATCAATTGAACTCCAACTAAGCAATTTGGAGATATGACATCAACATTTGCCACATGTCAATCATTGAGGGCATAGATCCTCTTTTTATATTATATATAGATTTTCACTTTAGGCAATTAATCTATTACATAAGTTAGGTCGAGGGTTAAATCTTCGTATGGTAAAATGGTAATTAAAGTATGCAGTAGGAAATTGGAAATATGCTGTTTTGGGAACTAGGCCAAAAAGTCTTGTTTGATTGTATGAATTTTAGCAACTTGTTGGAAGTAACGAATTTGTTTGGTGAATTTTGATTCTTTTGTAGCAACAATAATTGCATTAAAAAATAGGAAATTATATTTTATTTATGTTATTTAATTATGATAAATAGGGAATTAGATATTTCACGGGCAGAAGCAACTACCACGGATTGGCATTTATGAGCCATCTCTTTCCATATATAATCGTGGTCTACTTTCTTGCATGTGCCTTTTGGGCTCTTTCGCTTTCGTGCAACAAATGTCGATTTTTTTATTTATTGGTCAATTTTTTTTTCAAGAGATTAGGTTATTGATTAGTGGGTAAACATTATAAGCATAAATATAATTAAAATGATATTTACAAAGTGAAAATTGATTGGTAGCAGATTAATTTTGATTTTTACTAATTTTTCATATTTCAAAACCTTACATTCTCTCAAACTTTCTCAACCAAGAAAATCGGTAGATGCTACGATAACGGGATTTGATGTACATTTTATATTTTTACGATTCTTGAATAATGTATATTTCAAATAAAAAAACGAATTGTGCTACTTTTCGTGTTGTTCAACACGGAACCTGGTTTTTCCTCTCTATCTCTCTCTATAATTCCGTGTTGTTTAACACATAATCCGGAATTGTAGATAGGGATTACGTATTGAGAAACACGATCAATCAAATTTTCATTTTTTTAATGAAAAAAACTACTTGAAAATCGGAATAATCGTTGTCCATTTGGTTTATTGTCCCTTCCCAATTGATAAAATCCGATTTTTTTTTTGCACTACCCGGGTGATTTACGAAATAATACACAAATACATGGTTTACCTAGTCTAGTCAATTAACAAAAAAATCATCACTTCATCAATATTGAAAGAAGTTATGATCATTTGTTTCAAATGTGAGAAATTAATATAATGCAAAAATAAATAAATAAATATTCAGAAAATTATACACAGCAATGCGTCTAAAGCGAAGAAAAGCCCATCTTAACTGCACTGATCGAGGGCCCAATTTAAAGTTATCGGGCTCAATATTAAGGCCCGATAAGAAACTTTTAACCCGACCCGTTTAGTTCAATCTAGTGCATAAAATCCTGCGACTAGAATTCTGCATCCCAATTCTCCCTCCACTTTTTCTCGATACCGAGAGGGGAAGAAATTGGACAGAGGGTTTCTCAAATTTTTTCTGCAAAAAAATTGGAAAATAATTTCACAAAAAAATGACGGCGGAAGTAGCAATTGGCGCGGCGGAGGTTCTGTCGCGGCCGAACGGCGATTTGAAATCCGGAAACCCTAACAGCGCCCCTGTTTCGGCTGCGAAGAAGTCGCGGGAGAGCGAGCGTCGGCGGAGGCGGCGCAAGCAGAAGAAGAACAAGCAGAATACCGCCGAAGGTGATGACAGCGACGCTGCTGCAGAGGAAGGCAACAGTGCCGCCGACGACAGCTCAAAGGAGAACGCCGATCCACAAAAGGTAACAATCTGAAATCAATGTGGTGTTTGTTGCTTGAGGTTTTTTGTAACTTGTTTGTAGTTCTGTTAGTGCTAGTTTTGGTAAATTGATGGACTGATGGGCATCATTGCGCGAATTGTGAAGCACTCTCTTCTGCTATAGAAGCGATTTTTGTGAATTTACTCACTGTCTGGTCTGAACATTACATTGAAGTTGCAAAAATTGAAGAAGGTTTGTTTGGAAGTTAGAAATTATAGTACCTGTTTTTTGAGATTAGGATGATCAATATATCTCCAAGCTAGTTCATACAAATATTTTCGAGTTCATTTTTTATTCTCTTTTGGGTGTTGGAAAATCTTTATAATAGCTGTGGCCTTAAAAAAATTAACTACCCTATACCTTCCATATCCCATAAGGTTAGTGTGAAACTTCTTGATGCTGATAAGGCTACAAACTGAGAGAGATTTTTACAGCCAAATGAAATGCTCTCACTATCTTAAACAGGTGAACGCATTTTTTAGCTTATTATTCTATTTATTTGGTTATACCCACTGTAAAAGCAACTGAAACATGGATTTGAAATGCGAAGGCATATGTCTAGAATCTGAAAGTTTATATACTATTTGTGTATTATTGTTCATAAATTTTGCTCTATTTTTTATTCTCGTTCAGAGTTTCTAATAACATAGGTGCTTTAGTAGAAATTCAGCCCCTTGTAGTCAACTTAATAAACTGTATATCATGGGTAGAAGGGAAAATTTATAGAATTTATAATATTTCTTTTTATATAGGTAACTTGGGTCTATAAGTCTTTTTTGTCCAATGATAATTTGAAAATATGAACTTTATATCTGTTGTTCTGGTACATTTGTTTCTTTAATGTGTCCTTTATGTATATAAATATGCAGGCGGTGATTGAAATGTCCCACTCGATGATAAATTACACTGGTATCTGGTTTAGTAATGTCATGACAGTGCAGACAGTTTTATTAATAGGCTCAATAATTAATTATCAATCACTAGTTTTACCATTTTCTTTCAAATTCGTGTGAGCCACAGGTTCCAGATGTAGAGATCGAGTATGTACCTGAAAAGGCAGAATTAGATGGGGAGTTGAATGAGGAATTCAGAAGAGTCTTTGAGAAATTCAATGTTATGGGAACTGCTGCTCCGGAGGTAAAAATATCTGAAATAACATCCTGATTTGATTGTTTTGTTATATTGCACACCTTGGTCATTTCCTTTTCTAATTGGTACTATGGCTTTCCTATTCCCCTCTTGTTTTTATATAATATATTAATATTCCAATTTCTTCAGGAGAATGACAAAAAGGATGACAGTACTGCAGATGCAGTCGTGAAGAAAAAGGTTGACTCAGATTCCGAAGAAGAGGAGCAGGAAACTCAACAAAAGGAGAAGGGGGTCTCTAATAAAAAGAAAAAGGTTACTCTTCGACATTGCAACTCTTTTGCAAGTGTTTCTTTCATGTTTAGTTTTATTGATTAGTCATATTTAGACATGCTATTTGTGCTTTCTGCTTTGAAATCTTCAACAAAATTCCCATGGCTAAAATACTTTTGCTGTCTTGTAGCTTCAACGTCGAATGAAGATTGCTGAACTCAAACAGGTCTCTACAAGGCCTGATGTTGTTGAGGTAAGTGTCAGCATTAAAGTTGATGGGTTTGTGATTTAAAGCATCAGCTATTTTTTTGGTTTAGAGATACGTGCTTCTTGTTACTCTCCCTCTATCTCACCATTTCATCTAATTCGGTATTGGATTTGGAGGCATTTTAACTTGTCTTTGGGTATTTAAGTTCTGATTGCGGTTATGGTTTTCTAAAGGGAAGATACTAAACCACCATTTTGTGATAGTAGTTCAAATAGTTTTGGCTTATTACAAATTGAGATTATTTTTATGATTTACTTGACAGTTATGTTGATAATTTTCTAGGTATGGGATGCCACTGCATCAGACCCTAAGCTGCTGGTATATCTGAAGTCGTATCGCAATACTGTTGCAGTACCACGGCACTGGAGTCAGAAAAGGAAATTTTTGCAGGTAAATTACTGAGGCTGATATACATTGTGGGATTGACTTACCTTTGCATTACTAAGAGTTTTGTCTTTCTTCTCTGTTAAAAACTGTCAAAAGGGAAAATGTTTTGTTTAATCAATGTGGGGGATATAGGGGAGAATGTGATGGACGATATAGTCAATAAAGTTTGTCTTATATGTATACATGTTCTTGCAGGGGAGCTGGGATTGCAGTTGTGGAGCCTGAACATGTAGGTGTTGGCAAGGGGAACCTTGAATTCTTTTTCAATGTGCTTATTAGTTGGGTTGGGTTTGGGGGTCTAGGCCATTTGATATTGCTTTATGTGATAAACAGACATGCCTCATCTTACTGGTTGCTAAACCTAAGGAATTCACAATTTCACATGGGACATTGAAATAGTTATTTCCACTGAAAGTTTGGATTAGTGGAATTCATTGATTAGTTTTCATGAACACTAGTTCTTCTAATTTATATGATGGTAAACTATTGTCTCATCGATTTCTATATCTGCTTTGCAGGGGAAGAGAGGTATAGAGAAACAGCCTTTTCAGCTTCCTGACTTTATTGCTGCTACAGGAATTGAAAAAATCAGACAAGTGAGTTTGATTTTCTTCTCTTTGTTATTGTACTCACTTTAGTGCATATGCAAGCCTCTTGTAATGGTGACATCACATAGTTTAGATTGCTAAATCGTTGATTCGGTAACTTTATATTCTGTTGTGTAATTGTAGTAACTTTGGTGCATATTCAATCCTCTTGTAATGTTGAAGATCGCATGATTTAGGTTGCTAGATCATTAACTTCCTAATGGAGTCAATATATAGTAAAAAACACAGTACAACAATGCATGCCTGAGACTTGTTTGGTCCAAGTAAAGTATAAGGTGGCAACAGAGTAGGATTTCATTTGTTGATCCCAACATAAAATTTATCAAGAATAGGTTTTTGAAACTTCATTTGTTTGGATGATCTTATCCTTTCTTTTCCTTGGAGATGATTAGCATAGGATTTTATTAACATGTTTAAATTTGTTTGCCACTTGTTTGGGCATAATTTCTGTGAAGTGGACAAGCACGTGTTTTTACTTGGAGTGGTTGTAGTAGCATGACCAGTCAACTGTCAATGTATACTTGCGACCAGTCAACTGTCAATGTATACTTGCTGGAGTACTACTCTTTTCTTTTTCCATATTCCAGTGATGTGCACTTCACATTCCATTGTTTCCAGAAAATAATATAAGATCATCAATTTTGTATCACATACAATGTTCAGCTTTCCACTGTTCCTTGTGCTGACACTTTCTTAGGCATATTACATTTCACTATTGCTAGTTCAGTTCACTTTTATCTTTTTCCTCTTATTTATGCCTTGTTCCTTATTCGACTCTAAGTTTGCTGCTTTGGGTTTTATTCCAGGCATACATTGAAAAGGAGGACAGTAAGAAGTTGAAACAAAAACAACGGGAGAGGATGCAGCCAAGAATGGGGAAAATGGACATCGATTATCAGGTTTTGCAATGTTCTGAGTTTCCTCATGTTTTAATATATTTGAGTTTGTGGTATTAACCTCATCCTTTCCTTTTTTTCGCTCGTGTAAGTTTTCTGACAAACCTTTTTATTTCAATTTTTATAGGTCCTGCATGATGCTTTCTTCAAGCATCAGACAAAGCCTAAATTGTCAACACATGGTGATTTGTATTATGAGGGGAAAGAATTTGAGGCAAGAATTTCATGGAAGTTTTTTTTTTTTTTTTTTTTTCCTTTTTGTTAATGTTGTTTGTGTCTTATTGTCTATACTAGTGTAAGGCTATGTCTAATTTTGTTTTTTCATTTAATCAGTCTGAACCGAGTTTAACTTATTCTGGATTTGTATAGGTAAAACTGAGAGAAATGAAGCCAGGGATGTTGTCACAAGATCTAAAAGAAGCTCTCGGCATGCCTGAAGGCGCCCCTCCTCCGTGGCTCATCAATATGCAGGTTCATTTTCATTATGTTTGATAAATTCAGCTATTAATAGTTTTTCCACTGGTTTTGTACTGGATGAAGATGACTTACCTGCAATCGGTTGTTTCTTTTTCTATGGCAGAGATACGGCCCTCCACCTTCTTATCCTCATCTCAAAATTCCAGGGCTTAATGCTCCTATTCCTCATGGAGCTAAATTTGGCTATGGACATGGAGACTGGGGTAAACCTCCTGTGGATGAAGTAGGTTTTACCTTTATCTCCTTAGTCGTTTCTTGTACTAGTTACTCTTTATTTTCTTAGTATCCACTTTCTTATCCTACTTTTCTTTTCACTTTAACTAGTATGGACGCCCTCTCTATGGAGATGTTTTCGGTGTTCTGCAACAAGAACAACCTACTTATGAGGTAAAAAAATTATCACATGACATGATATCCTTACAATTTCCTCTGTGCTACTTATTTGCTAATTACGTAACTAGTAATTTATTGGCTGCCATTTTTGTCCTGTATGTCACTCCCGTCTATATCTATTTCAGGAGGAACCAATTGATAAGAGTAAGCACTGGGGTGATTTGGAGGAAGAAGAAGAGGAGGAGGAAGAAGAGGAAGAGGAAGAAGAAGAGGAAGAACAGATGGAGGAAGAGGAACTACAGGATGGTATTCAATCTGTCGACAGCCTTTCAAGGTTAGAGCATCTCCAACCATAATGAATATGGAGAGTTAAAAGTTAAATTATAGCTTTTACCTCTTCTAAATAGAAAAAAATCATCTCCAATGGGTAAGCTAAAATTTAGCTCACATGCTAAAGGAGGAGAGAGGAATGTTATATATAGCATTCAACTATTCACACATGGTATAAGAAATAATATTAAAATAATAGGTTTTTAATGGCAAAAAGTAGAAAGTTAAAGTAATAAATATTCAACACATAATAAAATATATTAGAATGGTAAATTATACATAATATGATTGGAGTGAATGGTAGAAAATGAGTTGTTAAAACACTATTTGTTAGCTAAAATAGATATAGCATCCCATTTTTTACCACTCAAGCTTGGAGATGCCCTTAGAGATATATGATTTTAATTATTTTCTTCGGCATTTCTCTAAATAGTTATCTTATGTGTCCATTTTGTTCGGAATACAAGTTGCTATGTCTTATCTTTTTTCTTATTGGTGATTTTTAGCACCCCTACTGGTGTTGAAACTCCTGATGTTATTGACCTGCGAAAGCAACAGAGGAAGGAACCTGAGAGGCCTCTCTATCAAGTAAGTGCATCTTTTTTTTGTTTTTAACCTTTTGATTCATGCCTGTATTTGTTTTTGTTGATTTTTGGTAAATAACTTCTATTCCGTGCTCGATGCAGGTGCTAGAAGAAAAGGAAGAGAAAATACAACCCGGAACTTTACTGACAACAAGCCATACGTATGTCATTTACTTCTGTTGACTAATTCACTTTGTTTTGAAATTCAATTTTTGTATCATGAATTTGTAACTGATTATTATCTATCTAACTTATGCTACAGGTATGTTATTAACACTGGCACACAGGACAAAACTGGCGCTAAAAGGGTAAAGGATCTACTTGTCTCCCCTTTGATAGCTAATATACTGTAGAGTACTCTTGCTTATATCTAGCATTGCCTTTCTGGGAAATGATATTAGGTGGTTTGCATGATTCGTTTCAATATGCTTTCTTATGACTAGGATTTCTAATGTGGTGTCGTTAAAATAGTTTCATAAATCTTTCTTTTTACCGATGCAACAAGAGAATATGTCCGAGAATGCTATTTTGTAGATCAAATTTTGCCTTGTCGAATGACCAGGGATTTTAAATCTGTAACACCTCAAGCGTCCAGATTAGAGTGTGAACCTCTGAGCATTGTGTATCAGAATCTTGGGATCATATACGCATACATACATGCATGAACGTGTGGCTAATGTGTGTTCGTGAAGCTAATTTCCTTGTGAAAAAAATATCTACTTAACAGCAGAATGGGATATTTAGAATTTGTATATAGATGTCATTAGTCATTGGAAAATATAGGAACAAAATTTAGATGTTACTTAGATTCAATAAATAATTGTGGCATATAATGTGATAATCTTGCTGTTGCTTATGTTTTAACTCGTCTATTCGGTCAGGTTGATTTGCTAAGGGGCCAGAAAGCAGATAAAGTTGATATCACATTGGCCCCCGAAGAGTTGGATCTCATGGACAATGTTTTGCCAGCCAAGTATGTCAACTATTCCCTTTTTCTTTATATATTTTTAATTTATTTACAATTATCTGGATTTTTCATGTAAGACAACTTATTCTTATGCCGAATTTTCTCAGGTACGAGGAAGCTAGAGAAGAAGAGAAGTTGCGCACTCAGCGAGAAGATTTCAGTGACATGGTTGCTGAGGTACGTACTTATAATAGTTACTAAAATTTACACTTCCATATATTCCAGTTGCCTTATTATTGTGAAAGAACTTGATTTAATTAATTTTTGTTTTCTGGTGAAAATTTTCTAGAATGCAAAGAAAAGGAAGCGAAAGATGCACGATAAGGAGAACAAATCTAAAAAGAAGGATTTCAAGTTTTAGGTGTGTTTCGGATTCTAACGCAGCTTTCTTGGGGATGCTGTGCAGCCATGAATGTGTCTGAATGATGCTCGACTTTTCTTCTTCTCTATAATGTTTGTCGTTCTCTTGAACTGCAGACAATTATGATTTTGTATTCTAGTAACACAACTGTTGACTTAAACTAACATCCTTTCTGTAGTTTAAAAAAAAATTGCTCTTCCTTTTGGTGCTTGTGTAATACTTTCTGTTTGTTGTGTTCTTTTTAGAGAGAGAAATTGATCAACAACCTTTTTAAATGCTACTGAAACTTATCTTGTTGTCCCAAATTAAATTCACATCCAACATCCAAGAACAACAAATATGGGATTTCGGATAAACGAACATTTATTTGTATATCCTGGAGATCGTTACAACGCATACTTTACATGTACTGTCTTAACTCACAACTGCAATTTTATTCAAATCATCAGAAATATTAAATGTTGCATAAAAAACTAGCAAAAACTTCTCTCAAGTAGGATGCTGAGCAGCTATATTGATCCCATTCTTATACCGGTAGTATCTCGAGGCAAGAATCCATCACCGGTTTTCGAATAGCTGACATAGAAGAGCTCAGAGAATAAACCTGTAAAGAATATGAACGCTGCACCTGCTCCAAACACTCCCTTTCTCAACGTCTCACACGAAGGTGGATTTTGAGACAAATACGGCCTGTATTTCGTATGGTATGCATTTCGAACTGAGCCAGCTAACAAACACACCTCGGCAATGAAGAACGCCATCCTGTTTTGGCGAACAATTTCAACTTATATAAATAATATAACAGAGTTGATTCACATTTTTATCTATTGCAAAAGACATCCTTTGTTCATCAAAAAGTCAAAAATTTTATGTCCGATGGTAAAACAGGAAGTTCATTGAGATTTTTGCTCACATCGTCGAATTCCATCTTAAACCCTAGCATAAGTAGTGTCATATTACTACAGAGTTCATTGCATTTAGTACCTCTGTGTTATATAAAATATTAGCAAATACCCCCCATGATGCAATTTTTTTAGCATACAACGCCCAAAATGGTGAGTTATTTGGGGTAGTTTGCTAAAAATATTGAATCACAGGGGGGTGTTTGCTAATATATTTATAGCACATGGAGTTTTTTTAACAATTAGAGTAAACACGAGTGCTAAATGCAATAAACCCTTCTCAATTTTGAATTTAAGAATAAAACAAGACCTTGTCAATATCATGTGGTAACAATCTACAAATCCCTATATATTTATCTTTTTTCCTTTCTTTTTCCCACCCGAAACCTCGTAAATATTTTGTTCATCCTTATAAATCTCGGCCCCTAGTGAAAGATTCCCAGTTCACCCAATGAAAGAGGGATGTAATTGTAATTAATCTAAAAATGATATCTATGATTGTAGATTGAATAAAACTTTGTACCAGCAAGTGATGAAAAAGACGATCGCCCAAACCCTTGATCGACTGGGTCGAAGTGGTCTCCCACAGCACAAACACTTCGTGGCAGCCATTATCAATATCTGACTAGCCATAAGGAACAGAAACGAGCATACACCCAAACCAGTTGCTCCGTTCGAATCGTACACGCAATAGTTGGAGTTTGCATCGGTCGCTATCTTGGCCTAAACATAATTGATACAAATACAAGAGTTATATTAGCTCCATATACATCTTTCGGAATATTACGAATACCAATTCTAGATAAAGAACTCTATCATTGCATTTCGATTGCCTAAGTTTCGGATAGATATTCGACAATATTAATTCGAAAATATAGATATTTGACAATATAAATAGTTAATTAACACTCAACTTTGATCATTCAACTACATGAATGCAATTCTTTTACCAGTTTAACTCGAATCTAGAAAATTCCAAGCCCCAAATCAGACAGAGATAAATCTCTTGATTGATTCAAGAAACCCTGGGATCTCGTTTGGTTCCTAAGGTAAGATTAGTCAACATAAAATTAAAGCCAACACATAAAACTCCTAATTAAGCTAAAACTAGAGCCGTTTTTGCACCAAACAAACAGACAATAAGGAAGATTTAATTAATCATGGCTAATCCTAAACGAGGCATATAAATATTAACAGGAAATCAGAATACTTGCATCTAATTCAGTAATCATGGAGGAAAATTCTGTTCACTTAAAGAAATGATGAATTATAGAAATAGAACTGAAGAAGAAGAAGAACGAACAGAAGATCTCCGCTGTTCAGCAGCAACAGCAAGTGAGAAGGCAATCAAATCCAACACGAAAACAGCAATCAGCACCAATTTTAACGCCATAGCGAAAATTCGATGCTCCAATCCCCAAAATCACACACACTCGAGCGTTTTTTCTGCAACAGAAAAACCTAGTAGCAGTAGAGAGAGAAACAGAAATTAATTAGCTAGAGAGAAAATTCTAGGGTATGTATGCCTATGGTGTGGAATAAATACTTTTAAAACGGAATTTTCTCTTTCTGTGTGCGTGTGTGTGTAGAGAAAGCAAAGCGATTACAGAGAGATGCACTACCTTTAATTGCGAAGAATCCATAAAATGAATGTGGATTGTATGTACCTTTACTGCAAACGAACGAATCCATTCCCTTAATAAATGCTCTCTCTCTCTCTCTCTCTCTCTCTCTCTCTCTCTCTCTCTCTCACACACACACACAGTGAGCTGTGTGTGTGTGAGAGAGAGAGAGAGAGAATCAGTAGTAACTCACAAGTCACAACAATGGTGATTCCGTTCAATCAGAAGAATGTAGCTGCATATATATATTCCGTTTGTTTCAAATTAAACTGTTATTATTATTTTTTTTTCTATATATCATTTTAAAACTCGAAATTTGTTGTAAATAATATAGAATGTGGTTATTCCTATCTTAACTCACTCGGGATTTATAACTCCCCACTACGCCACTAGAGATTCTCAACTTACCCATTATGCCATAACTTCCTCCATGATGTATGTAGGGTATAACTCACATGTAACCTCTTTGTAACTTCCGGTGGATTACATTACACCTATATAAATGAGAATCTCTCCTCCCCTAAACATCCCCACAATTATCTCTCTACGGATCTTGTCTACTTGTGTTCTCTAAATGAGAATCTCCCCTCCCCTGAACCATATTATTTTAATTCTCCTTTGGCTAAAATGTCAATTTATGTTTTCACATCTATGTATAAATCTTGTGATTCATTTATCCCTAGAATTCTATGTATTGCGCCAGCAAATGTTTTATTGCATATCATCAAATAGGTAATATTTTGCTACCTTTTTAATTCATAATTTCCTAGTGCGTGGTCTGGAATTATATTATGAATGTTTCATTGCTAGAATATAGAGAAAACTGTGGATTACATGCTTAATGACTATGAATTTATATGCAGCAGTGTGCATTGACTTATGAATTGTTTTGATTATGATAATGAAATTATCTTTGTTTCTTATCCAACCCGATTGTAGCTTTAGTCATTAACTGTTTGAAATATTGTCTGATTAAATCATAGATCCTATATGGACTATACATGCTATTTACGGTCACATCATGACCAGTCAGTTATATGCTTAAGGTTATGTTTATATTTCAATGATATTAAGCATGTCATATTATATATATTTGGCACATGTACGTTAAAGTGTATGAATAATTTGCTCAAATTATGATGGAGAATTCTATTCAATTTATCCATTATATTATTTATCTGCCATATGTATTTTTTTGATACAAAAATGGTAAGCAATATTTCGTTTGTCGTTATGGTTTATCGTATGAAATCCATGAATGTGTATGAACATGTGGTGTATGAATTATTAAACCGGAAGTTCTAATATGTGCAAAATATTCATGAAATTGTTTATGGAGGTTACATTCCCATAAAACAATAATACTCCATATTCTATTTGATTTGATATGAAACACATGAGCAAACTCGAGTTTACCCAACTTAATGTATTTGGTGAAAGTTTTGTTGGTTGGAGAATGGATGTTAAGATCCATATGCTTAGTGAGCAAGTGAGAATGATTGTTCTCGAGAATAATTTATTAGGTAAGCCCAGAAGGCTGAGACTATGTTTCTGATTACGAGATAATTAGATGAAGTCCTTCATTTAGATTATTCATCGAATGAGGGTCCTCATAAAGAATGGGATACCCTAACTAGTCGTTTTGATTACCAAAAGACAATACACTTGCCGGAAGCAAGGAACAAGTGAATTCATAAACGATTTGTATATGAATTTGAAAATCCGAATATAGCTCAAAATCAGAACATAGATATATGTTTTATATATGGTGGATCTAAGAAATGGTCGCGCACCTGAAGTGCGAGGAACGTTGGGGTTGGGTATGCAAATAATAATGCACCAGCGTAGACTGAGTTGGCAGAGGTAAATATTTTCTATATATAGCCCATCACTCAGCTTCCATACTTGGGCACATCTGACCAAATGACCCATATTGGGATATGATTGAACTTTGATTTCCTGAAATATGCATTATGTTCATTTTATGTCTCTAGTTTATTAGTTTATTGAATTTCAATCATCTTACTTCATATGCTCATATTATGAACCATGTTCATATTTTGATTATGTCGAGTTTATGCTCTAGACAAGATATTTATGCTCTAAGTTAATTATTATGTTATTCAGTGGTGTTTGCTTGATGAATTTATTTAGTACATGAAGTACTGAATATATATGATCATATTTATATAACTCTATAGACATGACATGTGGGGATAAATGTCTGGCAGATAGTGCGACAACACATAATATCCTGAGATATGTCGTACTTAATTAATTTCATGTCTATTTGTAGCAAGACCTCTTTGATAACTAAATGAGGCACATGTAGTTTTGATAGATGGTTATGATAATGTCCAAATTATGTATCTCATGGCACTGTTTTGCCCATTAAAGTAGCTCATTTTTTATCCACGTTCCAGTAGAACGTTGTTAAACTTTAAAGATATTTGGGCTAATGGTTATTATGATGAAACCATTGAAGACAAGAAATCGAATATATGTGCATCATCTCTAACATGTACGGCCAGAAGCGTACATTGGGAAAATTATAGGAATTTTCGACACGGTTATATAGAACAACAATTTGTATGCCAGAAGCATAAGTTGTCGATTGCTCGAAATTAAGTAATTTGATTATATGTCAGCATACGCACATACATATAATGATTCAATTCATTTCATGGAGGTACTCCAAGGAGATATATGTGGACTATGTATCACCATCTTCAACTAAAATTTAGAACCTTAGATAGGCGATCTCTTACCCGCTCAAATTGCGGACTATCACTTTGATGAGACTGTCTTCCCGCCGTTAGGGGGAGGAAAGAACGTCCACACTACCGTTCCTGAAGAACGGCGTGAAATCGTGTGGGACGACCCCACAGTGTCTCATCAAGATCCACTACATCAGAGAATTGCTACATAAATTAATAGCTCATCCATACTAACGTTCCTGAAGAACGACGTGAAGTCGTGTAGGATGACAATATAGATTTGCAAGTAATGTGCATCGTAACGTTCCTGAAGAACGGCGTCAAGTCGTATGCGACGACTTAGAAATCTGCAAAGAACGTCTATACTAATGTTCCTACAGAAAAATATGAAGTCGTGCAGAACGAATAATGCTAGACTTATTCTCTGATTTGAAAAAGTGACGAGATCTCAAATACTCCTGCAAGGATAGATGTCCTAGAAGGACAATTACGGGTAGGCCATCAATCCATGCTAACTAGTCTTGCCTCCCTTCCTAGGGGAGGGGGAGCGCAATGGGACCAAATGATTCTCACCCCCGAAAGTGGATTAATGCCCAACAATTGAATCCTGTTAGCACTAATATAAATGGGATCCCACCTGATCCATCTCATAAAATAATTCCGGACTATGGATTCGTCCTGCACACGAAGTCGGGGGACGCCTCATTAATATCCATTCCCGTGAATAGGAAAAACTTGGTTAGTTATTCATGCATGAATGAGATGTTGTATTGGGATAAAATGATCATCGATGATAAACTTCTCTACACAGTAGCTACTGAATTTTTTTATCGAGTGATGATATAAAACCTCGATCAATTGATAAGTGTAAACAAATGGATGATGGCCGAAATGAAAACAAAAAAAATTCAAGTTGAATTTGATTCCTTGATAAAATGAAGAGTGTAGAGACCAGTAGTTCCTACACCTCCTTGAATTTCACCTATGGGATATAAGTGAGTACTCACAAAGAAAAAAATGAGATTGAGAGCCAGAAGACTCATCTCATAGCTCAAGGAATGAAATGAGATTGGGAACCAGAAGATTTATCTCATAGCTTAAACGAGATTGGGAGCCAGGAGACTCATCTCATAGCTCAATCAATGAAATGAGATTGAGAACCAGAAGATTCATCTCATAGCTCAAATGAGATTGGGAACCAGAAGATTCATCTCATACCTCAAATGAGATTGGGAACTAGAAGATTCATCTCATAGCTTAAACGAGATTGGGAGCCAAGAGACTCATCTCATAGCTCAATCAATGAAATGAGATTGGGAACCAGAAGATTCATCTCATATCTCAAATGAGATTGGGAACCAGAAGATTCATCTCATAGCTCAAATGAGATTGGGAACCTGAAGATTCATCTCATAGCTTAAACGAGATTGGGAGCCAGAAGACTCATCTCATAACTCGAACGAGATTTGGAGCCAGAAGACTCATCTCATAGTATAATGATTTATGGGCAAATGAGATTGGGAGCTCGAAGACTCATCTCATAACTGAAGAATTCCTCAACATCCTGAGATTGATTTTAAACAGATATACTCCTTCATGGTGATACGTGGTCATAAAGTATCTACTGAGAATCTAGATACAAGTATTTATATGAAAGTTCCAGAAGGACTTCGATTTCCCGAAGCAATTAGTTCCAGATCACGGAACATAAACTCAGTTGGGCTGAGACGTTCACTTTAATTATGACTAGAAATATTCCAGAAGAATATAGGACAATTTCCTAAGTGAACAATTGCTCGGAAGAGAATATGTGAACAATAACTGGTTTTGATTGTTCCTATTACTACAATTTATATAAAGGACATAAACTTGATTTAGACTAGAAGTCAAGTAAGAAAAACTCAATTGTTGAAAATTTGAGTTCAAGATCAAAGATCTAAATGAGACTAATTTGTTGTCTCTACCAACTTAAAATTTATCATGTCATTTATATTTATGTCCATCAATCGAATTATATCGAGAAGATGTTATGGATAAATATAAATTATCGAGTAATACATACGGGAGTTCCACAATGGAATAGGACCATCAATTCATTCCGTCCCATGGAGGAGGACGAGGAAGTGTTAGCACCAGAAGTGCAATATGTAAATGCAATATATGCATTATTATGCTTAACTCCATGTACTCGATATGATTTAACTTTTTCGGTAAATTTATTAGATAGACTTATCTCACCTTACCGACACGCCCTATGCATCAATGAATGGGCGAAACTTGTGGTTTATATTGGCATTGACTAGAAGTCATATCCACACAAAGTTCGTTCCCAATCCATGGTTTAATATTGGGAAAATAGCTATGTCTTGGGGTTCTATGAAATGTACCTCAGTTGTCACTAGATCAAATCATGCAGAAGTTTTTACTTCACGAGGTAGTGCGTGAATGCACATGGCCTGAAGCTATGGTTAATCATTTTTGAGATTCCTGTGAATTAGTATACACAGAAGATCCTACGAGATTGTATTTGACTATAATGCAACATGCATTGAGCAAATGAAGACGAACTTGATTAATTGTGACAAAATCCAAGAACATAGTTATGAGGTTTTCTTCAATCAACAAATAATAGCTCAAACAATAATGATCCAGCAGATCATGATTCAAGATAATTACGCAAACTCATTTACTAAATCTTCGCCTAAAAGTGCTTTGAAAAACCATGTTAAGGCTATTGACTTGCGTAGATTATACGAACTCGCTCCCTTGTACACATCAGGGGGAGTTAACTTGAGGGGGAATACCGTGTAGGTACTCAGTATCCAGAAGATACCCGGGTGCCCTGTTGTACTCTTTTTCCTTCGTGCGAGGTTTATTTTTCCCACAGGGTTTTCCTTACTCGCCAAGGTTTTAACGAGGCAACATATGTTGATTGAAAAGATTGTGCGTTGTACTCTTTTTCCTAACCGAGGTTGTTTTTCCCATTGGGTTTTATTACTCGGAAGGTTTTAATGAGGCAACACGAAAAGCACAATAGTGGTTCGATAGGAATCCCCAAGGGGGAGTGTTGTAAATAATATAGAATGTGGTTATTCCTATCTTAACTCACTCAGGATTTATAACTCCCCACTACGCCACTAGAGATTCTCAACTTACCCATTATGCCATAACTTCCTCCATGATGTATGTAGGGTATAACTCACATGTAACCTCCTTGTAACTTCCGGTGGATTACATTATACCTATATAAATGAGAATCTCCCCTCCCCTAAACATCCCCACAATTATCTCTCTACGGATCTTGTCTACTTGTGTTCTCTCATTCTCTCTCTATTATTGTTATTATGTTCTTATGTATTTCCACAATCACAAACCAAATAGCTACACGAATAGGCCATTTTACAACAAAATTTATTTTCCCAATTTTAATATTCCTATTATTTCAGCTCTCACTAAAATTAACTCTCTATTGTTACACGATTTAAATCAAATGTTTTTTTTTAATATTTATTATTTATATTTTTCCTAAACATTAAGTCATGTTTAATGACATTTTAAATTTACATTTAAAAACCTTAAAACAACAATACTCCTTTTGAATTACAACAAATTAAGTTTGTAATGATTTTTTAGTATTTTATTCTTCTAAAGCCTCGTTTGATTGGTAATAAAATTAACTATAACTTAATTAAATAATTGAATTAGCTAATATATACTGAAATGACATTTACATAGTGAAATTTGATAGGTCACACAATAACTACAATAATTATTAATTTTTCATATTTCAAAACCTTATCTTATCTCAAACTCGAAAAATCACTCGTACGCTACATTTCTTCGTATTTTATAAAATACCGTATTATTCAACACAGAATCCGATAGATTCCATCCAAGATACCTGATAATCGTCGTCCATTTAATTTGTTGTCGCATCATAGTTGATAAAATAAAAATAACAATTTACGAGATTGAAAATTAAAGAATTTATTAATCTCATTTATTAGGAATCATAAAATCCAGGGGCATATTAGTAAAAGCATCTCCTCAGTTGCGGAGCTTGCACGTTTGCCTTCCCTTTTCCCATTTACAGTGCGTTTAGCAGTAAATCTATTTTTTTTACAGCGGCAGTTAAAGTAATTTTCTCATTCCAAGGTAAATCAAGGGGTAGAGTTTAGATTAATTATTTTTCCTTTTAATTTTTAATCTATTTTTTCACATGGGTTTGATTGAAAGCGGGGAGCGGTGAATACTAATGTCATTGTTCGGGATTGTAATTCGGCAACTCGTTGGAAACCAAGCCATGGTAAAACCCTCTCTCACACTACACTAATCCCCCACCCTCAAAATGTTTAATTCCTTATTTTAATAATTATTTACCTGCCTGCGTTCATCGATTTTACTGTTCGCATTCGTTTGAATTTGAATGGGCTTTTTGATTATTGTATGTATTTATGAACGCAAGTCCGATCGATGTGTGCGGATTCAATATTGTATGTGATTTTCTCGTTCTATTGTGTATTTTGATAGGGTTTGTTTTGTTTGAGTTGTTTCATTCTGGATTATTATGCTGCAGTTAATTTGATTTTGATTTTGATTTTGTATTTCACACATTTTTTGTACTTTCATGAAATCGGATTATCGGAAAATTTGAAGGAAATCGTGTAATTTTTCATTTTCATCTTGAGAGAAACAGGTGAATTTCCCTTTTTTGTTTCAATAAATTTGTGGCATTGTAATTTACTTCGCGTGAACGAGGGAAATTTGTGGCATTTGTTGTACTTTCATGAATCGGATTATCCGAAAATTTGAAAGAAACAGTGTAGTTTTTCGGTTTTTGTTTACTTTTTGTGAGGCTGACAGTATGATTATTCTACGTGCAAAATAAGTTTCTGGCATTGTAATTTACTTCGATTAAACGAGGGAAATTTTATTGTGTTTACCAAGTGATTCTTGTTGTCCCGTCAGTTAATCGTTCACTTGTTATTATCGGTGATTTTGATTTTGTATTTTACACATTTGTTGTACTTTCATGAAATCGTGTAATTTTTCGTTTTCATCTTAAGAGAAACAGATGAATTTCCTTTTTTGTTTAAATAAATTTGTGGCATTGTAATTTACTTCGCGTAAACGAGGGAATTTTTTATTGTGTTGACCAAGTGATTCTTGTTGTTCCGTCAGTTAATTGTTTGCCTGTTATTATTGGTGATTCTTAATCTGTTAAAACTTTTTTTGTGTCATTGAAATTTTACGTATGCACTTTTTACAGGCTACATCGAAGAAAGTTATAACAAGGGCAGATTGGGAGAAAAAGCTGAATGATGTTAAGGTTAAAAAGGAGGATATGAATAAATTGGTGATGAATTTTCTGGTTACCGAAGGTTTCGTGGAGGCTGCTGAAAAATTTCGATTTGAATCCGGGACAGAACGTATCCTCTTTTAACTTTTATCCGTCGCCTGCTTTGTTATTAATTTTACTATACTATATAATTTGTTAGCTGTAAACATTTGTTGAATTCCTTATTAGTAAATAGCAGATATTGATCTTGCGACTATCACTGATCGTATGGAAGTTAAGAAGGCGGTACAGAGTGGTAATGTGGAAGACGCAATTGAGAAAGTTAACGATTTGAACCCTGAGGTGTGTAGCTTTTACTCGTTTTTACGTAGATGTTCACTAGAATGTATTCAAATTTTCAATTGTTATAATTTATAAAGTTTAATACATATGATACTTCATCCAACACTTCCTTTTTTGCAATGATCAAGAAGTTGAAATAGATCGATTGTAGTGAACGCTGGTTTGAAGAGAACTTAGTGCTATGTATATTGGGGTGGACTTTAGACGAATATGAATATGAACTTATCTTAATTAAGATTGCAACTATTTAGATGATTGATAAGGAGATTAATTTTGCGTGTTCTCCTTTGTCGTTGCTACCATGTTGTCATTATACGGACATGAACACATCCATTAGGACCATTATTTAACATGAATTATTTTATTGTGATATCTGTATTTTTCTCTTCTCAATGTGCTCTGCCTGATTTTGTAATGCATAATTAAAGCAAAGTTTAGTTGTGTTGGAGAAGCCATTAAATAGATATATGTTTGTTGTGCGTTTGAGGCGAGTACCTCAGCATCTATTAACTTGTCCTTACCTGGATTTTTCTCATTCCGAGAGTTTGATAACAATGAGGTTCATTGGTCCGTTTAATTTTCTTTCTTTTGATTTTGTTATCACTCCGAAGTTATTGTGATTATTTTTCTTATTATAACAAATTATTCTGATTGTTTTTTGGATGTAGATACTGGACACGAATCCCCAACTATTTTTCCATCTCCAACAGCAAAGGCTGATAGAGTTGATCCGCAATGGCAAGGTAGAAGAGGCTCTCGAGTTTGCTCAAGAGGAACTTGCTCCTCGAGGAGAAGAAAACGTAATTTTTCGTCTTTGTTTTATCATATTTTATATGAACTTATACTTTAGTTATTCCATTAGTAATAACTTGATTGTAATGTAAATCGATATATTCAGCAAGGGTTTTTAGAAGAGTTGGAGAGGACTGTTGCTTTGCTTGCTTTTGAAGATGTCACTAACTGCCCCGTCGGTGAGCTGCTCGATATATCACAGCGACTTAAGACTGCCAGTGAGGTCAATGCTGCTATTCTCACCAGTCAAAGCCACGAGAAAGGTTAGTCAATAGTCCCTTCTCTATTAATAAAATCCTGGAATTATTTAATTCAATTTACGGGATGTTTCTAGATTTAAAAACGCTAAGAGTGCGTTTGGATGGAGGGATTTGATTTGGGGAAGTGATTTGAAATGAGTCCAATTTGGAGTCATTTGAAATCCATCTCAATTTCTCAAAAAACAACTAAAAGTGCGGGGTGCGGATTTGAAATTCATCCCCAAATCCCTCAGTCCAAACAAGTCCAAGGGATTTGTTATTGTGGATTTCAAATCCCTCCCCCAAATCCCTCCATCCAAATGCACCCTAAAAATATTTGTGATAATGCATTCTTATTACCCCCGAGCTCGTTAAACTAGCTACCGAGATTCATTAGAAACCGGACCCTAAAAATAGATGAGATAATGATTCAAAGATACCTTCGCTGAGGTTCCGTTTAATTACAACGAGACCCCCTCATGCTTGGAAAATTACACAAACCTCCTCTAATGTTTGGTTGTACCTTGGGTTGTCGGGTATAATATGTTTCGAAGGGTTCTTCTGTCACGTTGTTACGTTTTTCACCAATTGAATGTTCGAATGCAATCTTTTGTGACCTTCATCTGGTTCATTGCTTTTACCACTTTTGAAATAGATGATATATTTACAATCATTTCTGTGATATATTAAAAAATCACGGAAAATTAGAACAAACAGCTGGAGGACTCGTATGCTGGTTGAACTCGATTTTCTTTTTTCTTCCTTGGTATTGAGATCTCATACGACACTTGATTTCAACGATACATAATCTTGTTTTTTCCTTGATAATTTTATTTATTTGATATATTGAACAGATCCGAAGCTTCCGAGCTTATTGAAAATGCTGATATGGGTGCAAAACCAGCTCGACGAGAAAGCGACTTATCCTCGAATAACCGATTTCTCTACTGCTGCTCTTGAAGATCCTGCTACTTAATTACTGCAACCCTTTTAATTTAGTGGGAATTAGTGATATCTTATGTAATTTAAGAAGAAAAAAACTATTTTAGTGTAAATTTGATTATGGATTGTGGAACTATTTATCATTCTTGCTTCGAAATAAATAAATATTATTTATGAACATTTTATTTATTTGAATATTTGCAAATACAATTTTTATTTTTCAATTCTCTTAGATTAAATTGTTTTAAATTGTAATTTCGTAATTAAAAGAAAGTTGTAATTTCAAAAGTATTTCTGCAGCATCTTTTAATTAAAATTGATATTTTCGAACATGTGCAAATAAACTCTTGAAAATAAACAAAACGACAGCGTACAGTAGTAGTAAATAACTAAATATTACTGATAAATAGGAAATTAGGCTGATAATTGCTATCATTTGGGCAAAACAACACAAACCCAAATGGTGAATTCTGGAAATTTAGGTTGGCGACGATGATGGCGGTAATCCGCATCAGTGGGTCCCACTTGTTCGTGAATACCCAATCCATCGTCAAAATTGAGCGCGTAGCTGTACGCATCGTACTGGAATATCTTGACGCGCCGTTTGCTTCCTTTGCTCTTCTTCTTCGTTGCTGCTCTTATTCTCCAGTATAAGCTCCTGCACTGTTTCTTCCCAAACTTCTCTATCCACCGCCCTATACTTCCTACCATCCCCATTTCTAGAGAGAGAAAGTGTGTGTGTGTGTGTGTGTGTGTGTGTGAGAGAGAGAGAGAGAGAGAGAGAGAGAGAGAGAGAGAGAGAGAGAGCGAATTTGATTTGATTGCAGAGGTTTGTGAGAATATATATATAGAAGCAGGAAAAAGGAGGATCTCGCTTTTGGGGAAGCAATTGCAAAATACAGACAAAGAAATGCAGAGGAAAAATGGCAAATCCTTTGGGTATTTTGCGAGAAGAATCTGATTTGTTCTCCTTTGCAATGCGGATGTGAAACAGGTACTTTTTTTCTTCCTTTTTTTTTTTTGCATTGGGAAACTCAAATTCCATACTCCACAGTCCACACACACACTAGGGCACGCAGTGAGTGTGTGTGTGAGAGAGAGAGAGAGAGAGGAGAGAGAGAGGGGGGGGGGGGGGTTGGGGAAAAGAGCCTGTATATGCAGTGTCGTCGTTTCACTGTCAAATTGGTTATACAGTGACAGCTAAAACAAAAGTGGTGCTCCACAAAACCCCCATTCTTCGCCGGTAACATATGTTTAATTAATTTCAATCGGATTTTCCTAAGTATTCGAATATTTCAATTTTCACCAATTTGCATAGGTTTATTTTTTGCAATTTTAAAGTTATTGAATTCCTAGCTATTAAATACTTAGATATATGTATAATGCCGTAAAATAATACATTTCAATTTAAATTGGGAAATCTAGTTGAACTACAAAAATAAGAAATATTACTAAAATTGAAAAAAAAAGAAGAAAAAAAGTTACGCTAATCTTAGTGATACTTGCGCCTCGCTTTGATTGGGGAGATTAGCAATAATTAACTAAATAATAGGATTTTTGTTTGATGTTTGGTATCCCAATAACTTGTCGGGTCGACCCGTTAGTATTGTGCTATCATGGCTTATCTTGCCTTCTAACATTTTTTTTTATTGGATCATCGAAGATCCAATAATGTAATAGTGTTACATTAGATTATTTAATCTAATATTGACATCTTACCTTGGCAACCAAACGAGGCCTTGGGAATTTAGAAATAATTCAATTTACAAAATTGCTAAAATAAATAAACGTTGTCGATACCAAGTGGTGAGTAGTTATCTTAAAATTGTTCGCTTCAAATAAAGTTGGTTTGAACACAAAAAGACCGTTATGCCCTTGTGTCACACATGTAAAATGGGATGGGGGAGTAGATATAAATAGTTACACATATATATATAAAAAAAAACATGTACAAAATATACAGTTGGTATTAACTCTTACATGATTTACTACTTGATCAACAGTTGTTCATTGGATTCAATTGCATTGCTCACTTGTGAGTGTACTCTGTTTTTGTGGATCCATGCACAGCTGTTTGAGATAATTGATTTGAAAATGATTCGTTTCATATCTCTTACACCAAATAATAAGACAGCATATAGGTCTAAAATATATATATATTATATATATGTGTATATATATTGGTCCATATGTTTGATGTATTAGTTTTGTTGGTGTAATAAAATTGAGGATGAGGTTTTCATTTCTGATACATCAAATCAAGAAACCCTTTTTGTGTATAACTCCTTTGTCTGCAACAAAAGGTGATGAAGCAGAGTGATAGAAAGATGAACAACAGTGGATTTTTCTGCATCCAACAAAATACCTTTTTTTTTTTTTTTATAATTTATTTTTTGTTTGTGTGTGTAAAGCTATTTAGGCATTTTGCATATATTCTCCTTAAAAAAAATCCTCTCTTGTCTCACTCTACAGTTGTCTTTCCTACATTTTGGCCCATTTTTAGTTCAGGATATTCATTTTCTTGATGTCACCAATATTTTCTTTTTGACCACACGTGATCTCATTATTTATTTTATTTGTTTTTTTTTAGTTGAGCTCAAATTTGTTAATTATGTAAAAAGATCGACCTCCACGAGTTTTTAACGAATGGTTTCGAATTTACGATCGAGTAGCTTGAAGTCATATTGATATTATGCATCATATTATGATACTACAAATTTTCTAAAGTTGAAAACAAAATGTTAATATCAACTTATTTATTTAATTATTTTTGGAAGTTGATTTCAACTTATTTATTTAATTATTTTTGGAAATTGATTTCAACTTATTCAAAATAGGAAATTAGGTACAAAATTGTAAAACTATTAGGCCCAATATTTATGCTTCGTGGCTGAGGGATGGGCTCCAGTATTTCTGTCCATTTCAAAATAGGCCCATTGCCCATTTACATTATTTTTATTTTATTTTATTTTTACTTTTTTTTTTTTTTTTTTTTTTGAGAAGATTCTTTTATATCAATTCCAAGCACTAGTTTACTATAATTTCATTTTGCTTGGCCTAGTGGTCTTTTGTTTTCCTTTTTCAATTTCAAAATATGGAATCATTTTATTTCAACAAAGAACCAAAAAAATGTTGTGGATGTATATAATTAACTACCCACTAAGCACAAGCACATGAGGGTGTATTATCGCAGAATCAACCAATGTACTTCATCGGGTGTCGTATCTATAAAACCCTAATTCAATTGATTTTTTTTTTTTTTTAATTTAAAGTTTTCAAAATCATTATTTTTATTTTTAACATGTAAAACAATAATCATAACATTTAGACCTTATCAAACTCTAGAGTTATAATCGAGTATTGAGTATTGTTTTCCCCTACTATTTCTTATATGTAACATGTTTTAAATTTTATATAATAAATATCATCAATGGTGGCTTATTGTACAACATAGATTAAATAAAGCTAGTGCAAAAAGTTAGGAAAACAAATATATAAATGTCTTGTAAGACAATATCTTTACCTTTCCATGAAACTCATGATTAAAATATGTTTAATTATGATTATGTCGTGTTTATCTAATTTCAATCACTTCTTTGATTATGAATGACATCAGGATTAATGACATCCTTATTACTCACCTAATGATGATGCTTCCTATTTCCTAATTACTTATGAATGCCCTAGTGCTAGGCCTATATTTAATTTTATGTTTGCTTCTTGCATTATCTTATAGGTGTATTTATAGCTATAGATTCATAGAAACACCTACAATGAAAGTGATGAAGGACCACCTCCAATAAGGCCTAGTTTGATTAATAAAGATAAGCTATGATTAACCAAATATTTAATGTGCCAAAGAAAAACTATTTAGATAAGCTTCCATTTATAAAAATGTATAAATATTTTGAGTGTATCTCTCACTCAGGGTAGAGTGAGAAATAACTCTTATGTGTGTGCCTTGTCATTGAACCACACATTTATCGCCCAAATTGTAACGATCATTGGCTGATAAAGTGGCTCATAGTCGAAGTCAACCATGAATGGTGGCGTTTGACTCAAATATCGTCGGCATAAGACCAGGGTAGTTAACAGAAGGTACGGAAGGGGGCGTAGAAAGATAGTAGGTCATGTTTAGGGTAAATGAGAAAAAAGAATCAAAAATATATATGACCTATTGGACGACCAAGATTGACTGTCTGAGATGAATGGTCAAGATTGGAGTCCAAAAACTTCTCCAAAGATCCAAGTAGAGTAACTCTAATTACGAGTTGCTCTAGTTGGATTATGAATTGGGCCTATTCCAAAAATGAATAAATCATTCGGGCCCTAACTAAACAAAGAAGTCATAAGTAAGTTAGACAAATAAAAATTACTAGGACTAATATATAAACAAAAAGCCCAATAAGCCAACTTTTAACAGCTCCATGAAAAGAAGAGAAAGTGAAAAGGACCTTTCACGTGAGAAATCTGATGAGGTCACCCTCACACGAAGCCGCATATACCAAACCACACCAGATCACTCCACCATCATTGGTCCAAGTTCTTTTCGGTCAACTTTGAAAAAAAAGGGGCCCACCTTCTTCCTTTCCCTCTCTCGAGCTCACGTGCGACGCAGTCCCACTGCACGCGCGGTACCCTTCTTTTGACTGCATGGGATACCTTTGATCGACGGTGGAAATGGTTTGTTGACGTGGAGAGATCTTGACCGTTGGATTGTGGGGAGACAATCGTGAGGAGAGGATGTCACTTCTGTTGGTGGAAACCTGAGAAGGGCGACAATTTAGGCGTTGATGTGTCGGCTCGTGTATATGTGTGGAGAACTTTGTGAATAATGCCATTTTTTATTATTTTTTTAATTTTTTTATTATTATTTTTGTAGTTCCAATTTCATTAAGAAACATTAAAATTGGATAGAAATTGAAATATTTTTTATTTTATTTTATATAAAAGTCAGAACTTTTCGTTATTTGAATTGCTTGAAATCGAAATTATGTTTATATATTCACCTATAATATAAATAACATTATATATTAATAATGTAATTATCATTATGATTTTTTATTTAAGTTTTTGGATTAGTTTTCAAAAAATAAAATAAGATTGAATATTGAAATATCATACATTTTTTTGTATAATATATAATATATTATTGATATATGTGTTTTTTGTTTAATGCACTTAAACCTCTATAAATTA